AAAAGAAAGTATCATGGGCTTCAAAAGGTCTTCTCTCCAAACTTTCTCTTAAACACAAAGGGCTATATTTAATCTAACTGAGGCTAACCCTATTCCATAGTGCACTGTGACTTGACCATAGAAACAGTCCCTCCCCATATTTGGGGAAATATTCTGAGTTCTTTGAAAAAAACAAACAAACCTTTCTCTTATGGAAATTTCAATACATGCAAAGCAAACAGAATAGTAAAATGAACTACCATGGATCCATTGTCTCATTTTAACAATTATCAACATTCTGCCAAAGGCCTTTTGACTCACTTGCTTTTGTTTTGACTTTATTCTGTTTTTTCCCCTCAGAACACCCAGTTGTCTTTTCATTTAATATAAAACAACAGCAACAAGAAATTGCAATGCCATATAATGTGAGTGACATTGCAGTAAGCTGAGGTGGCGCCACTCAGGAAGGCTCATATAGGCTTGAGAGAATTCCCTGTCCCATTGTAGTGAAATATATAAGGAAAAATTTTCTTTCTGATGTCACTGAAAGCTGCATCTTCAGAGCGCGCTGACTTAGGCAGTCCCTGGGCAAGCAGCTCTTAAGGTGTTTGCTGCGGCTCTGCTATAGATACGTCTTGTCTTGGAGATAAAGGACAAGAAATTGTCCCTTCAGGGCTATGTCTTTTGAAAGTTTGTTTTTTGAGTTTTTCTAAAATCCTAAGACCTATTACAACAAAGGGAATAGATTTCCAGAATAATGAGGCTGTATCAAGTATACTTTTTAGTTCAGAGATTGCATGTCTGTCATGCCACCATATTATGTTACATTAAAGTGAAAGAAGGTAATCCATGAAGTCTAGGTAGAATTCAGATAATCATTATAGTCACCCAGAACTTTCAGTGTAACTCCTTGCCTCAACTCTTACAGAGACTGTAAATGTCTTTGGAAATACTTCCAAGTGAAAAGTCTGCCCTTCATGTGATCTATCCATATCCTCTTACCAATCTTCTTGCGATAGCTCTTTTAAGGTAGACGTAAAAGTACAATTAAAGGACTTGCTTAACTTAGATTGTTCTGGAGCACAACTATCAGAGATCCCATGATCATCCCAGCAATATGGGGTTTGAAGCCTCTAGAACAGTAGCTTTGTGGTGCTTTCTTTCTGCAGTATGAAAAGGCAAAGAAAACCTACATGCAAGCCTGTAAGAGATCACCTTCATGCCTTACCTGGCTAGGACTGGGAATCGCCTGCTATCGGGTAAGAGGATGAAGGCTTGAGAGTAGGCCTGTGCATACAGCTGGCCTTGATTCTTTGGCCTTCCAGGCATCCTGGGGGTTTGTGATGACGCTGGAATAACAATCAGGGCAGTCTGCTCTAATGAAAAGTTGTTCTTCAAAGGTGTTCAGTGAACTGAAGTTCACTTAACTAACTAGAAAAGTAGAAGATCTTTAAAAAATCCCACAAAAACCTGAACCAAGAAATTATGTAACAAAAACAATTCATGGTATTTGGTATAGACACTCTTTTGTGACATTATCTGTAAGAAAAAGGTCATATGGGAGATGAGAATCTATTAAAGTCAGTTGAAGAAATTGATTGACACTTATTAATCACTGTGACCCTTCGATATGCAGGAGGAGTTACTGTAGCTTCTGGTAGAAACTTTTGCTCTGCTTCCCCTAAAATCTCTTTACTTAACCTTCCCTCCTTTCCTCCAATCTTCAAAGAGGCATACATCCTCGTGTTCCTGCCTGATTTCTTCAGGTATATTATTGATTCCATGCCTCTCCTTTTCTTTAAATATCTACTCACTCATTTTTTACTTTTTTTTTTTTTTTTTTTTAGATAGAGTCTCACTCTGTCTCCCAGGCTAGAGTGCAGTGCTGCAGTGGCGCCACCTCAGCACACTGCAACCTCTGCTTCCTGGGTTCAAGTGATCCTCTGCCTCAGCCTCCTGAGTAGCTGGGATTACAGGTGCCCACCACTATGCCAGGCTAATTTTGTATTTTTAGTAGAGATGGAGTTTCACCATGTCAGTCAGCCTGGTTTTGAACTCCTGACCTCAAGTGATCTGCCCGCCTCAGCCTCCCAAAGTGCAGGGATTATAGGTGTGAACCACTGTGCTTAGCCCCTCATTGCTTTTTTTCAACCATAAAGATAGTATATGTTCATTATAGAAAATTTAGAGGAAGCCGGAAGCAGTGGCTCACACCTGTAATTCCAGCACTTTGGGAGGCTGAGGTAGAAGGATCTCTTGAGCCCAGGAGTTTGAGAGAAACCAATCTGGGCAACAGAGCAAGACCCCATCTCTACAAAAACATTAAAAATTAACCAGGCATGGTGGCATGTGCTTGTAGTCCCAGATACGTGGGAGACTGAGATGGGAGGATTGTTTGGTGGGAACACAGAAGTTAGAGGCTGTAGTGACCCACAATTGCACAACTGCACTCCAGCCTGGGGGACAGAGCAAGACTTCATCTCTAAAAATAGACAAATAGATACAAAATATGAAGAAAACATTTAAGTATCCATAACTCCACAAGTTGGTGATAACCACTGTTAACATTTGAATGCATTTTCCTCCCATTTTTTTTCATATGTATGAAAGCAATTTTAATGTAAAAATTGTAAATATTTACTGCTTTGTAGTCTTTTTTCTACTTAACAATATAGTGTTGGTATCTTCTTACAGCACCAAATAATATAAACATGAATTGGAATGACTACATGGTATTCTTTGATATATGGATAAATAAATAGGATGATCATTTAATTTATCATACAAACCAGCATCCTTCTGAGAATGAAAAAGATGTTGTTAAAATTATACAAGGCCAACCAGGACATAAGGTCATGTATACATAAGCTATGTGCCCCCTGATCTACCTTCCCAGAAAGGATGTTAAACATCTATAGCTGTTAGAAACTTGACAGCATTGTGAAAAGTACAAGAACCAGCTATACAAACTATTTGGTATAACTCATGCTTCTATTTGTTTGAGAGTTGTTAAAAAAAAATTTCATTGAGATAGAAACAAAAAAATAATTTAGCTAAGTACTACCACTAGGATGTCCAGTAATCTTTACCCTCTCCCATCAGTGTTTTAGTCATACCATACCTATGTGTGGATATACCATAAGACCAATTATTGGGTATGTTGTTAGCTATTATAAATAAAGCTGAGATAGGCTCAGCATGGTGGCTCATATTTGTAATCCCAGCACTTTGGGAGGCCAAGGTGGACAGACTGCTTGAGCCGGGAGTTCAAGAGCAGCCTGGGCAATGTGGCAAAACCATGTCTCTACAAAAAAAGTTACAAAATTAGCTGGATGTGGTGGCATGTGCTGTGGTTCCAGCTACAGGGGAGGCTGAAGTGAGAGGATCACTTGAGTCTGAGGAGGTGGAGGCTACAGTGAGCCATGATCATGTCACTGTACTCCAGCCTGAGCAATGGAGTGAGACCCTGACATGGTTTGGCTGTGTCCTCACCAAAATCTTAACTTGAATTGTATTTCCCAGAATTCCCACGTGTTGTGAGAGGGACCCAGGCGGAGGTAATTGAATCATGGGGACCAGTCTTTCCCATGCTATTCTCATGATAGTGAATAAGTCTCACAAGATCTGTTAGGTTTATCAGGGGTTTCCGTTTTTGCCTCTTCCTCATTCTCTCTTGCCTCTGCCATGTAAGAAGTGCCTTTTGCCTCCCACCAGGATTCTGAGGATTCCCCAGCCATGTGGAATTGTAAGTCCAATTAAACCTCTTTTTCTTCCAGTCTTGGGTATGTCTTTATCAGCAGTGTGAAAACAGACTAATACAACCTTTGTCTTTAAAAAATAAAAACTAACTAACTAAATAAAGCTGAGATAAACATTCTTGGACATAAATCATTATATTTAACTCTGATTATTTCCTTAGAATACATTCTAAGAGATTGTAGAAATATTTTTAGTCTTTAAATTATAGTGTTAATTTGCCTTCTGGAAAGTCTATATACTGATTTATACTGTCAGAATGTGTGAGAGCCCATTTTATTGTTACCTCATTAACAATGGGCATTATGATTTGCCAATTTGATATGTATCTTAATTTGCATTTTTGTTCCTAAGGTTGAAATAATGTTATCTAGGTATTTCTTGTAAATTGTTTGTTCATTTCTCTGTCCTATTTGCCCTTCATTTTATTGCAATTAGACATGTACCCTTGCCACTCTGCTGAAACTTCTCTAACAGAAGTCCCGTATGACATCCTAATGGCGAAGTGCAGTGGACACTTAGATGAAGTCTCTGTGGCAGTTAACCTTATTGACCACTTCCTTCTTGAAGCTCTTTCTTCCCTTGGCTTCAATATTACTGCGCTCATATTCTTTGAGTTCTGCACCTTCCTCTCTGGCACCTTTTTCAGACTTTTTACTGGCTTCTCATCTTTTCCTCACCTTAGTTGTTGGTTTCTCTTGGTTTCTATACTCAGTCCTTTTCTCTTGTTACCTTATTTGTTCTCTCTAAGATGCGCCATCTACCCCAGTTGTCTTAACGGTCACTGTGCCAGAATGAATTCTAAATCTTGAGTTTATAACACTTTTCAAGCTCTGGCTGACACTTATATCAAACACTGCAATTAACAGCTCTGTTGATGGTTCTCCAGATACTTCAAAATGCACATATTCAAAATACACCCTACCTTATCCCTGAAGTACTTACATTCCTTAAGCCAGTACCTTCTCCTGTATTCCCTATTTTAGTGAATGGGACTATGATGAACAAATCAACCAACTCAGAAACCAAAAAGCTATCCTAGGCCTTCTTAAGTACTATGATTACAGGTGTGAGCCACCATGAAATATTTATTCTATACAGAACAATTTATGTGTTTGATTTTCCTCTGTTTTTGTTTGTTTGTTTGTTTTTTGATACAGAGTCTCACTCTGTCACCCTGGCTGGAGTGCAGTGATGCAGTCTCAGCTCACTGCAACCTCTGCCTCCTGGGTTCAAGCGATTCTCCTGCCTCAGCCTCCTGAGTTGCTGGAATTACAGGTGTGTGCCACCATGACCAGCTAATTTTTGTGTTTTTATTAGAGACAGGGTTTCAGCATGTTGGCCAGGCTGGTCTTGATATCCTGAGCTCAGGTGATCTGCCCACCTTGGCCTCCCAAAGTGCTGGGATTACAGGCATGAGCTACCTCACTTGGCCTGTGTTTTATTTTTCACACATCTGTCAATGAGCTCTTTGAAGGCAGGGATTGTATTGTATGTATGTATGTATGTATGTATATATGTATGTATGTCTTTATTTGAGAGGGTCTTGCTCTGTCACCCAGGCTGGTGTGCGGTGGCTCAATCTTGGCTCATTTCACTCCCTGCCTCCCAGGCTGGGTTGATTCTCCTGCCTCAGCCTCCTGAGTAGCTGAGACTGTAAGATTTTATTTTTTTACTCCCACCATCTACCATACTGCCTGACGCAGAGCAAATCCTCAGCAAATGTAGCTTGATTAAATAGTGAATTAATGTCTCAGAGACTTTAAAGTGGGGGCCAAAGTATGGGCGTGGGTGAAAGACCATTCTCCACCTTGTCTTGGTCCTAGAAACCCATTATTATTTTAAAACAGAAAAATTGGGCTGGGCACAGTGGCTCATGCCTGTAATCCCAGCACTTTGGGACACTGAGGCAGGCTGATTGCTTGAGGCCGGGAGTTTGAGACCAGTCTGGCCAACATGGTGAAACCCCATCCCTACTAAAAATACAAAAATTAGCCAGGTGTGGTGGTGGGCACCTGTAATTCTAGCTACTTGGGAGGCTGAGGCACAAGAATCAACCTGGGAGGCAAAGGTTGCAGTGAGCCAAGATGGTGCCACTGCACTCCAACCTGAGCAACATAGCGAGACACTGTCTCAAAAAAAAAAAAAAAAAAAAAAAAAAGATAGAGAAAAGAGAAGAGGTACTCTACTGGGGAAGGGAGAGCCTTTTGGAATGTCTTACAAAGCAAACTCACAGTTTTAAGAAGCAATAACGATTTCCATGTGCCCAGAGCTCAGAGAGCACCCTAGAGTCTCTGAATATTGCATTGGTTGCTCAGGATTGAGCTGTTAATAACTGATATTAGGGGGAAAAAAGCTTTCTGGACAATAGTATTTCAACAGGAAAATAAGACTTTTATCTCAAGAAAAGGATGTACAACGTAAAGAAAAAAACTATAAATGTATGTTGCAACCCACTGTGTATGGAGGCATCACTGAATGATGCACACATGAGAGCGAATTCTTGTGAATTTTCAACCTTGCACCTGAAGCTCCATGGTTTATAGATGTCCTGATGGGACTGCTGTAGAGGAAAGGAAGGAAGGGATATAAGTTGAGAGCCTACTAGGCAGGGCTCCAGAATCCCCAACCTGGCTCTTTAATCAGAGCAGTTCTATTTTTAATTGGTTCATATATTGAACCACCACATAAAATTGCATTTGAAGAAAAGAGTTCTGATGCTAAAAATACTAAAAATTTGAAAACCATTGGTATAGGTCATGTACACCAATATTATTAGGGCATAGTGGTTTCAGCTAAACTAACTCATGTGTCTCCTTTTTGTGTCAAGCTGGACGAGCTCACAGAGGCTGAGGATGCTCTCTCTGAAGCCAATGCATTGAACAACTACAATGCTGAAGTATGGGCATATCTGGCTCTGGTCTGCCTGAAAGTGAGTGTTTATTATCCTTACACAATCCCCTTTTAGGGCACAGAGGTGAGGGGTCAAGTAAGCAAGGGGCAGCAGATGGCCAATAATAATGCATGGTAGCTGAAATCTGATAAGCTGTAGGTTTGGTCATTTGGCCCTTCCATGATGAAAAAGGAAGGGCCAAATTTGGGCAGGCTGTACTTGAAACATACTTAAAAATAATATATTTATGTGTGTTTTCTCTGCAAAGGAAGTTCTAAAAATGGGAGCAATATTGTATCAGAATATAAACTAAGTCAAAGATTAATGAAGGAGATGTCCTACTAGTATTTCTGAATCATTTTGTCCCATTGACATGCTGGCTGAGGGTCCTTTCTTTGATTTAGATGGGATATTGGGTGGAGGGTATTGTGGGAGTTCATGATAGGTGCTTTACCTATTAAAAATAACTCTCCCGCCGGGCGCGGTGGCTCAAGCCTGTAATCCCAGCACTTTGGGAGGCCGAGGCGGGTGGATCACGAGGCCAAGAGATCGAGACCATCCTGGTCAACATGGTGAAACCCCGTCTCTACTAAAAATACAAAAAATTAGCTGGGCATGGTGGCACGTGCCTGTAATCCCAGCTACTCAGGAGGCTGAGGCAGGAGGATTGCCTGAACCCAGGAGGCGGAGGTTGCGGTGAGCCGAGATCGTGCCATTGCACTCCAGCCTGGGTAACAAGAGCGAAACTCCGTCCCCCCAAAAAAAAGAAAAAAAAAAATAACTCTCCCATAGACTTAAATAACTTGTGTTATCAGTCTAAGATCAAATTGTGACTAATGAGAGCAGCCCTCATCTTCTACTGGCCAATATGACACCAAATTGGCAGGGAGTATTATTACAAGAGAAATGAACAAAATTACTAGGTTTTCTTTTTCATGTAAATATCCCAAATATCAATATTAAAAAACATACCTGAGGTCTGGCTGGGTGTAGTTGCTCATACCTGTAATCCCAGCACTTTGGGAGGATGAGATGGGCAGATCTCTTGAGCTCAGGAGCTCGAGACCAGCCCAGGGAACATGGCAAAACCCCACCTCTACAATAAATTAGCCAGACATGGCAAGGAGCACCTCTGGTTCCAGCTACTTTCGAGAGCTGGGGTGGGAGGATCGCTTGAGCCTGGCTGGCAGAAGTTGCGGTAAGCTGAGATTGTGCCACTGCACTCCAATCTGGGTCACAGAGTGAGACCTTGTCTCAAAAAAGAAAAAAATAAATAAATAAAAAGAAAATACCTGAGTTCTTACCCCAGCTCTCCCCTAATTAGCTCTAGGCTCTGAGGCAAGTCACCTAACTTTATTGGGCCTCAACTTCCTCATCTTTAAATTAAAAGGGTCAGTATGGAAGAGCATAACATAATTCTCTTTGAAACTGATAGATCAAATAGAAAAAAAAAGGATATATATACAGATGTATAACCCATTTAACAGGTTGGAGTTCAAATGCAAGTGTAGAACTCTTCACTTAACAATTAGAGGACACATATTCTTTTCAAGTACAAATGAGTTATTTATGAAAGTTGACCACATACAAAACTAGAAAGCGGGGTTCAGCAAATACATACAGATCACACAGCAGTAAAATTATAAATCAACAACTAAAATAAAGCCCAAAAGAAACTGGAAACTGAAAACATGCTTATAATTAATTAATGAGTCAATGAAGAAACATTGTGACAACTTCAATTATGAAGTCTTGTGTTGTGCTAGGTAGAATTCTAAAGATGGCCCCCTTCCCCAAGATTATTTTATTAAACACTAATCTGGGTACTGCTGTGAAATGATTTTGCAGATATAAATAAAATACCAAATCAGTTTACCATAAAATACAGAGATTATCTGAGGGACCTGACCCAGTCAGGTGAGTCTTCTAAAAGCAGAGAATTTTCTCTGGTGGTGGGGGGCAGAAAGGAAGTCAGATTTAAAACACAAGAATCATTCAGTATAACAACCCTGGCTTGAATATGGAAAAGGACCACATGTCAAGGAATGTGGGTGGCATCTGGAAGTTAACAGCAGCCCCTGCTGAAAGCAAGGAAATAGGAATTCTATGAACTGACCTGAATAAGTTTGGAAGTAGATTCTTCTCCAGAGCTTGCAGATAAGAACCCAGCACAGATGACACGTTGCTTTTGGACTTGTGAGACCCAAAGCAAAGAACCAGTTGAACAATGTCAGGCTTCTGATCTATGGAAAATGTGATATGATAATGGGTGTTATACACAGCAGTAGAAAACTAATTAGGCCTTGTAGTAGATTTTTTTTTTTTTTTTTTTTTTTTTTTGAGACAGTGTCTTCCTCTGTCGCCTAGGCTGGAGTGCAGTGGTGCTATCTCAGCTCACTGCAATCTCCGCCTCCCGAGTTGAAGCGATTCTTCTGCCTCAGCCTCCCAAGTAGCTGGGATTACAGGCGCCTGCCACCACACCCAGCTAATTTTTGTATTTTTAGTAGAGACAGGGTTTTACCATGTTGGTTAGTCTGGTCTCGAACTCCTGACCTCAGGCGATCTGCCAGCCTCGGCCTCCCAAAGTGCTGGGATTACAGGCATGAGCCACCACCCCTTCCTTTTGTAGTAGATTTTTATAATAATGGTCCACATTTAATTATGCTGTCATGTCCACATCCTTTGCAATGTTGTGTTGCCACTCACTCCCATCAAGAGATGGAGTTTCTTTCTCATTTCTCCATCCCCTTGAATCTAAGCTAAACGTGTGACTTTCCCTGACCAGTAGAATATGGTAGAAGTGACATGTGAATTCTCAGAGGTTAGGCTTTTAGAAGCCCTTCAGCTACCACTCTTTCCCTCTTGGAACTCTGGAACCACTGTGCTGTGAAGAAGCGCAGTTTAGCTTTAGAAGGCTGTAAGAGTCCACATGGAAGATAACTGAACCACTCCAGCCAACAGCCAACATTAACTGCTATTTGAGTAAGCTTTTCTTGGACCCTTCAGTCCTAGCCAAATTATCATATGACCTCAGCTGCTTGAGTGATCTCAGGGAAAACCAGCAGAACAGCCCAAATTGCCTGTAGAATTTTGAGAAATAACATATTGTGTTTTAAGCCATTAAGTTTTGGGTTGGTTTGTTATACTTCAGTAAATAACTGAAATGAGACTGAATAAAAACAAAGCCAATATATATTAGAATTATAGGATAAAATTAAAGCAATAGAGAATAATTTATAGCCTAAAATACATATATTGGAAACAAAGATTGAAAAATCAATGAATTAATTATTTAAATAAAGTAGTAAAGGGAAAGCAAGGAAACCCAAAGAAATTATAATTGAGAAAATGATAAGGAATAGAAATAATTGAAAATTTTAACCAGGACATAATAGGATTAACAAAATTATGAGCCGATTTTTGCAGAACAGTGAACAGACAAACCTCTTGCATGACTAAGAATTTTCTTTAAAAAGGGAAGACATAAATAATATTAACAGCAAAATGGAGATTAAATTAAAATCGTTGGCTATTTTTTTTTTCTATCTCCAGTAATGGGTATAAGCAAAATAATTGGCTATTCTTATTCCATTAATCATTTAAAAAAAGTAAATCACTGGCTACAATTTATACCCATTTATGACTTTTAAAAAAGCAAACTAGTTTTTTCTTTTTTTTTTTTTTACCTTATCCCTGAAACACCAAAACTAGCTTTTTAAAAATCTGAAACTACATCTCCCAAAATCTATACTATTATATGAAATGGTGAAGAGTTAGAAGCATTCCTTTTGAAGTCAGGAACAAGTTAAGGAACTATTACTTCTACTTGAAACTATACTGGAGGTTCCATTAAGGCAATAATACACATACATATACACATAAAAGAAACTGAAGGTAAAAAGATTCGGTAGGAACCCAAGAAAATCTACAAGCAAACTGAAAGATGTAATAAAAGAGCTCAGTACTGAAATGGTAGATAAAAACCTAACAATAATGGTTACTAGTCAGGGCAGGGGTTGGGGAATAGAGTATATAGGGAGATGTGTGGAAGCAAAACTCAATGTATGCTTTATTATATCCTTTGGACTTTTGAATCACATAAATGTAGTCAATGAAGATATACACAAAGAAGTGGGTAGACAAGGTTGCTTGATAAAAGATCAATATAAAAATCAATATTATCAAAATCAGGTATCATCAGGAAAAATCAATTTGAAAGTCTAATTTTTTTTTTTTTTTGAGACGGAGTTTCGCTCTTGTTACCCAGGCTGGAGTGCAATGGCGTGATCTCAGCTCACCGCAACCTCCGCCTCCCGGGTTCAGGCAATTCTCCTGCCCCAGCCTCCTGAGTCGCTGGGATTACAGGCACGCGCCACCATGCCCAGCTAATTTTTTGTATTTTTAGTAGAGACGGGGTTTCACCATGTTGACCAGGATGGTCTCGATCTCTTGACCTCGTGATCCACCCGCCTCGGCCTCCGAAAGTGCTGGGATTACAACAGGCTTGAGCCACCACGCCTGGCCGAAAATCTAATTTTTAAAGTCCCATTTAAGACCTGTGTCGAGAAAATCATAAAACTTTATTGTAAAAGAAAATCTAGGCCGGGCGCGGTGGCTCACGCCTGTAATCCCAGCACTTTGGGAGGCCGAGGCTGGTGAATCACGAGGTCAAGAGATCGAGACCATCCTGGTCAACATGGTGAAACCCCGTCTCTACTAAAAATACAAAAATTAGCTGGGCATGGTGGCGTGTGCCTGTAATCCCAGCTACTCAGGAGGCTGAGGCAGGAGAATTGCCTGAACCCGGGAGGCGGAGGTTGCGGTGAGCCGAGATCGCGCCATTGCACTCCAGCCTGGGTAAGAAGAGCGAAACTCCGTCTCAAAAAAAAAAAAAAAAGAAAATCTAATACAAAGATAAACCATGTCCATGGGCAAGAAGTTTTAATCACATAAAATGAAAGTTTTCCCTAAATTAATATCTACGTTTAAGATAAGTCTAATAAAAATAATGACATAAGATTTTCAAGGAACTTGATGAGATAAACCCTAAAATTCACTTGGTTGAATGAAGACCAAAAAAAAAAAAAAGTTATAACAGTCTGGAAAAAAGAATAAGGAGCAAGGGGTTTCCTGTTAAATATCAAGCCTTATTATGTAACTGCAATAATTAACACTGAGTGCTATTAATGTAAGAGTAGATAAGTGAAACAATTGGCAGACAAAATAGACCCACATATATATGGAAACTTAGGTTTTGAATAGATGGTATTTAAAAGTAATTGGAGCTTTCTAGAATTTACCTTGATGCTCTTCCTCTGACAATTTGAAAATGGGTGTGCACAAGTTATTAATTACAGCATTATTGTAATAACAAAATAATAGAAACAACCTAAATGTCCATGGAGTTTATTTATTAAACATGGGAGAATATTTAAATAAACTGTAGTATATTCACATAATGGAATACTATGCAGCTGAAAAAAAATAATGAGGAAGATCTCTATGAACTGATGTGGAATGATTTTCAGTTTATGTTAAGTGAAAAAAGTGGAGGAGGATCCAAGATGGCCGTTTAGGAACAGCTCGGGATTGCAGCTCCCAGTGAAAGCGCAGAGGGTGAGTGGACGCGGCATTTTTATTGCCCACAGACTGGGAAATTCCCAGGCGGAGGAGTTCCACAGGTTGCCAGCGCAGCTGTTTCGGCCAGCGCCGCTGCTTTGTCCCACGCGGCTGCTTTGTCGGCGCCCTGGAGCAGCGGTTCTCCATACAAAATACACCAGTCTGGGTGCCCTCTTGGCTGGCGGTTGGAGCCACGGGAAGTCGCCCATTCGTCTGTTTAAAAAGGGGACTGAGGCCGGGCGCGGTGGCTCACGCCTGTAATCCCAGCACTTTGGGAGGCTGAGGCGGGTGGATCACGAGGTCAAGAAATCGAGACCATCCTGGTCAACACGGTGAAACCCCGTCTCTACTAAAAATACAAAAAATTAGCTGGGCATGGTGACACGTGCCTGTAATCCCAGCTACTCAGGAGGCTGAGGCAGGAGAATTGCCTGAACCCAGGAGGCGGAGGTTGCGGTGAGCCGAGATTGCGCCATTGCACTCCAGCCTGGGTAACAAGAGCGAAACTCCGTCTCA